GGTGGTGGTAATGATGGTGGAGGTGGTGGTAATGATGGTGGTGGTAATGGTAATGATAGTGGTGGAGGTGGTGGTAATAATGGTGGTGGTAATGATGATGGAGGTGGTGATGATGGTGGAGGTAATGATGGTGGAGGTGGTGGTAATGATGGTGGAGGTGATGATGATGGTGGAGGTGGTGGTAATGATGGTGGAGGTGGTGGTAATGATGGTGGTGGTAATGGTAATGATAGTGGTGGAGGTGGTGGTAATAATGGTGGTGGTAATGATGATGGAGGTGGTGATGATGGTGGAGGTAATGATGGTGGAGGTGGTGGTAATGATGGTGGAGGTGATGATGATGGTGGAGGTGGTGGTAATGATGGTGGAGGTGGTGGTAATGATGGTGGTGGTAATGGTAATGATAGTGGTGGAGGTGGTGGTAATAATGGTGGTGGTAATGATGATGGAGGTGGTGATGATGGTGGAGGTAATGATGGTGGAGGTGGTGGTAATGATGGTGGAGGTGATGATGATGGTGGAGGTGGTGGTAATGATGGTGGAGGTGGTGGTAATGATGGTGGTGGTAATGATAGTGGTGGAGGTGGTGGTAATAATGGTGGTGGTAATGATGATGGAGGTGGTGATGATGGTGGAGGTAATGATGGTGGAGGTGATGATGGTAACAATATTGGTGGACTTTCACAGGGCACATATTCTACCCATCTATTACCTTTCTCAACTTTACCAATAATCTCTTTTGTTTCTGCAGAAAATTCATCAGGATTGCCAACACTGACATAGGAGTATGGAATCCAAGAACATGTCTCATTTTTTAAACTAGTCAACCCTTCGCTGTCAGGCTTTGGTAGTTTTACAGTTTTCACATGAGGGTTGTCTTCAGAGGTGGCAAGATACAGGAAATCAATGACCATGTCTGTGACAGAATGACGAATTTGTAGCAGACATTTTAAAACCAGAGAAGGAAGTTCTAAAACCTACATAAGATTGAGTACTTTGAGAATGGCCACATTGGTGTCCATGACATGTAAAATTAACCATCTGGCATTAGACAGTGTAAAATAACAAAATAGGGTGCATCATAGTGCATTACAGTTTAACAGGTTAATAGGGATGGATGATCGACCTGAGGTATCCCAAGAAAAGAACAGAAGAATTGACATATATAATTTGTCTGTACATACTGTAAAAGCCTTAAAGAGATGGATTATGCATCAAGATGAAGTATTTGCACTGATTATATGTACTCAGAAACTTCCGTGCATAGTTTATCTTGAACAACCATCTGTCTAAGTGTATAAATACAGCATTAAACAAACTAGAATCTTTGCCAGTATAGATCACACAATTCTAGCTTTGGTCTTGATGACTATCTGCCTGCAGACTATAGTGACAGGTAGCTGTCCAACAGATAAATTAGACCATTATTTCTTTGAGAATAGTGCATGATGAGCATGTTTTTTAGTGGACGCAGAAATTTAATAAAACAACAAATTGTTATTGTAATATAACAACATCCGGTTATGAGGCCAAGATAAATATATTGACACAATAATTAGTTTATACCAATAATAAGTTGTTTATTTGTATATTATGCAATGACCATATCATGCAAAAGCAATTGACATCTACTGCACTATTAAATAAACTAGCAAACAAAACAAACTTTGCAAAACAAAACACCAGAACAACATAGCGAAAGTGAAAACATGAAACTTACCGAATTTGAAATACTTTTTGCACTTTCTTCGATGCTTTGCAAACGGCCTACGGTATTTGAAGGTAAGCTCCAAGTATCGCTCTTCTCTTTTCTAACAAAAAGATAATAATTTTCCTTTTCAAAATGTTTGAAAACAAGTCTCGTTCTAATTTCATGTTTGTTGACGTCTGCCATATTTCAAATTTTAAATACCTTCCCACATCGTTTTTTATGTCGCGAAAATTGATCGTACTTTGATAGTATTTGATAGCTGCTCGTTGGCAATGGAAACTTTCCTATTCAATTTTTTATACAAAACCACCCTATTTCGTTCCTAAATTTCATATAAAACAAAACACTGCCTTTTATTTCAATTTCCTACTAAGAAATGAACAATATTTTTTTTAAATATCACATAAAATTTAATGAATATATCACAGAAATTCATCGCCTATTAACAACATCAAAGTTTGAGACACCACCATTATGCACTATTACTTCAAAACTTTAAAAATGAAGTCTATTTAGTTTTACACAGTAACTTGTCGATACCTAAAGCTAGTAAACATAAAAATCTTTCTATTCGTGTGACAAACTCTTCTTTTTGACAAAGAAATCAACATGTATCTTTTAAATAGAAATTTGGAAATATTGGACGAAAAAAATGACGGCTATAGTCTTGGCGCGAAAATTTCAATTTAGCGCGTAGACAAACGCGGGTTTCGTTTCTTCTTGAAATTTTGCCAAAATGGCCGCGCTGAAGCGCAAAAGATTTCAGCTCACATCTCTACCGTCAGAAGAGAAACAACGACTCGCCGGTTATATAAAACAACTTGGGGGAACTTTTATCGATACACAAGTAAGTCGAGTATCGTTTTTAGAGTGAAAATGTGAATTTTTGTGACAAAATGTTCTCTTAGGAGCGGGGGTATTTTGTGGTGGTATAATTATGGTATTAAATTGCACGTGATGTGATTTTTCAGATATTTTCCAAGCAAGTAACTCATGTGATATGTGGAAAGGCAAATCGCGGTGAAAAATATCTTGGTGGCTGTGCTTTAGGTACAGTGAAGAGATCATCTCTAGCTCTATCAGATGACTCAGTCACAGAGTAGATAAGACATACAGAGACGTAACTGACCGTTGTAAACACTGCGGAAGATTACGTTTTCATGTACCCACTTTTTTTCAGGCGACCGGGCGAAAAATGATCAACTGCGCGTGCTCAGCAAGTTTAAAGTGAGTCGTCATCAGGTCGTCATCCAATCAGATGCATGCATCTAGTAACTTGCCGAGCATGCGCACAAAAAAAGTGGGTACACTAGTTACGTCTCTGTATGTCTCTACTCTGTGACTCAGTAGTCGGTACTATTGCTGACGTCAGCATTATTTTGAAAGGCCGTTATAAGCTACGCGGTTTTCCAAACATAAGTCGAAATATTTCGGTGTGCTTTCAAAAGTTTTATATAATTAATATCAAACATAATTGTGGACCTGTGTGATAAAATATAACTTTTCTTGAGCATTTACTACACGGCTGCCATGTTGGTTGTCCAATATTATGCATTATAAAATAACATGTATATATAAACGCGTGCTCTGATTGGTCGAAACCCGTGTTTGGATCAGGCCATCCAAACACGGGAGACTATCGTGTTGTTGTTATTTTATAAAACAATTACTTTATGGTTTCCGTGTTTGGATGGCCTGCTCCAAACACTTGGGAATGTTGCTTGAGTTAAGAAAAGCTCGCAAAATCACTCGCCTTCGGCTCGTGTTTCGCGCGCTTTTCTTAACTCTCGCAACATTCCCGCGTGTTTGGATCAGGCCATCCAAACACGGAAACCATAAAGTAATTGTATAATCTCAGACCACCAACATGGCGGCCATGTAGTAAATGCCCAAGGATTATATTTTATCACACAGGTCCTCAATTGTGTTTGATGTTAATTATATAAAGCTTTTGAAAGCCCACCGAACTATTTCAACTTAGGTTTGGAAAACCGCGTAGCTCATAACGGCCTTTCAAAATAATGCTGACGTCAGCAATATAAATTATTCAAGCACCTTTAACTTGCGAATGAATTACTGTATCGACTTGAAATTTGCTAGGAATACTTGTAGTAAGGATATACAAAATATATAAAATGGCTTAAATGGGCAACTATATATGTTAACGCTTAAGCTTTTAGAATTTTTATGACGTCACATGCAAACACTCTATATTGCAACAATTGAACCTCGCCCACAGAGCTGAAAGACACTGTGCCAGTGTTGGCCACCAACTAGACTTGGTTCAAGTCCGTCTCTCAAGGGGATGAAAATAGTGACATACACGACCATGTCTAGCCACCAACATCACTCTTTTAACTTTTTTTTCACATGAGCCGATTGCACTTGTCTAAACGTTTCATTAATCTGAAAATCTGCTCTGTGAAATACTTCAGGCAAATGGGTGTTACAAAAGGAATTTGTAGAAGACAGTTACAAACAAGGTAGTTGGCTTAACGAAGAAAAATACGAGTGGACGTCCGACATCCTTGATGCAGGGACTGCAAAGAAGCTTGCGCCTCTTTACAATGCACCCAGGAAGTGGCGACTTGCCTTGCAAAATACTAAAGCAGGAGCATTCAAAAGCTGGAATGCTATTGTTCATATACAAGACAACAAAATGAAGAAAGCTTATGAAAGGTAATCTACGGTGATGTTCCAAAAATGTTTGCAACATAATAGAATGTCGCTCTCAGGGACTTTTTATACGGTAGCTGGGCCCAGCCGGGTTAGTGAAAGAGCACAGTAGTGACTCTGTGAGATCTCCTTGGCTGGGTTGGATCTCACTTGAAAGAGGTTGACAAGATCAGAATGGACAGAAATTTCCCTGTATACGAACAATTACTAACCAGGCTCACTCTGTTGCCGAGAGGAAAGTACAAAAATATGCTGTCTAGATCAACTCTATAAATAGTCGGAAATTGTCAAAATGACCAAATCATCCTGTCAGTAAGATGGCATTTTCATACTGGGCATCTTACTTAGGAAACCAACACAGGTCTAGGGCTACCCTAACCTAACCCCATAGCCCCTTCACAAAAAAAACATTTGAGAACTTTTATTAAATTTTAAATTTCATCTAGACTATTGGAAGCTGGTGATGCCACAATTTTTAAGAAAAAGATATCATTTCAAGATTCTTCAAGCCTACCCAAAGACTTGACCCATGTTTTTGTGGAAACAAAATTAAGAGGGGATGTTCTACACCTGGAAAGCAAAGGAATTGTAGAAATTGCTGTGCATTCACCAGATTATATACCTGAGTATATCATTAAGGTATCTAGCAGAGATTTTACCTCAAACAGTGGGTGCCAATGTAGGTCACAAAAAATACAAACCGACTGTCAGGCCTAGAAAATATATTTCTTTTCTTGAATCCAAAAATAATACAAATTCCTGCACATGTAGATTTCAGATGGTGTGCTGCACACTGTGATAAACTTCAAATTCTGTGCAAAACAATCTCGACTTGCAAAATGCTTTAGGAATTTGTATACAATCGGAAAATTATACAGCATTCCAGTATATAACATGACAAAAACTTCCTGCAATGTGTAAGAAAATTCCTGCAAAGACATTTTGTTAAAAATTTCCTGGCACTGCCGGACATTTTTCAGCACTGCCAACTGTCAAATACCGTACTTGAAAGGCATTCCACCTGTGCAATTATTTCAAAATATTTTCAGGGTCCTAAAGAAACATTTGTGTCAAGCAACACAATCATGAAATACAACAACTTGATGAATGCATATAAAATACCAAGAATTGCCGAGATCAAGAAAACTGTGGGAGCTCTTCCTGGGAAGGAAAATGGAGCTACTGTCGATGTGAAGGGCAAAGAGGTTGCTGGGAAGAGAGGAGTGAAGCGTCTCTCAACCGACTGTGATCTCTGTGCGGCTAAGAGGCAAAAGACAATGGTAATTGTACGGACATACAACCAACTTGATTTTTTGGTATTTTAGGGCATAAAGATGGTACATACATACGTACTAATGATAGTGTACATAATATCTTACTTCTGTGCTTATTTTCTTTCAAACAGAATGACCTACCGCCGTATGTTAACATAAACTCAACACAAAATGTGCAAAAGGTAAAATGAAATATAGAATAAAAGCCATTGTCCTGATGGGTTTCAGAACAATGAAAAACAATCATGCTAGTTAGAACTATGCTAGTTAGAACTAGCATCTAAATTTTATAACCATAGGGGTCTTAAATAAAAGCCTGTCAAGGTTTCTGGTAGGCCCCTACCATAACATTAATAATCTAATTTATTTTTTTAATGTAAATATTTATATGTTATAATATATGGGCAAAACGGAAAAAAAAGAAATACACAATAGCAGTTAGCTTCAGAAATGTTGAATATTTAGACATGATTTGGAAGAGCAAGAAAATTAAACTACTGTACATCTCTCAGTTTCATTAATTTGACACCAAATACAAGACTACCTACAATCTACATATAATGAGAATAATCAACAATATCTTCTCACTCTGATAATTGCAGGTTGAGTGAAACCCTATACCAAATGGACAACTTGCATGCCGGTCAGACTAAATTAACCACAGCGAAAAAGAACATAATGAAATTAGTAAAATTGCAAACTTTGGGTACGAAATTATATAAAGCTTGGAAAATATAGCCTTGCAAAGTTTGCAAATTTTGTACATGTTTGTATTACGTGCGGAAATTGTTACCATTTTCGGCTCAAAAATGGTAACAATTTCCGCACGTAATACAAACACATACAAAATATGCAAACTTCGCAAGATCTATATTTTCCGTATTTTACAACATTTCGCAACCAAATTTTGCAGTTTTACTAATTTTAATAAGTTCTTTACAGGAATTTACTTTTTTTTGCCTTGATCAAAAATTAGTCGAACATGCAAGTTGTCTATTGTCCAGAGTTCATAGTGTAAATCCATAAATTGCAATAAAACGACATCTTCCATCATAATTTTTCACATATTTCTCTCAGGTGCGACATGTAACATTTCCTGGTTACGTATCAAATATTCTGGAATCGTGTATGGACGAAGAATGTGTGAACCTTGGAATGGAATCGGTGACCTCGAGCCTTTCCAGCAACCAAGTTCCTACATCGAAATGGTTGCATATTATTATGAACCATTTTCTGCTTGTGAGTATTTTGTAAAGCAAGACAAATGATGCGTCTTGAGAAGTGATCCGTCTCTGGCATACATCACGCTAATCATTTTGTTGTTTTAGAATGCTGCAAGTGAACAACAAGCGTTCCAGAGCTACCATTTGTTACAAAATATCCTGGAAGTACACCCCCCTGTCTCGTGTCAAAGTCTGTACCTTGAAGCCCTGGCAGAGCCGATTAACGAAGATTCACAAAATATTGACAAGTCAACACCTTGGGAGTTCATTAGCAAAGTCATCAGGTATGGTCGACGTCACGTTTTGTGACTGCCAAAATATTCTAGATTTTCCTAACAGTTCAGTTTCATTCTTTTTTAGAAATTCCTTAGGGAAGCAAGGCAATGAACGGATGGACAGGTAACATACTCAAAGTTTGTAAGTCCAGTAGCAACCATGTTTAATCATAGATGATTATGTGGTAATAGAGAAACATGTCATCTGAAGTAGCACAGTGTTCCAGATTTGCAGTATCCTTACTGGTATCCTGATGATACCAATTTTGGATACCAGATGATCAAACCTCAGTACCTCATTGGGATTCTCAAGAGGTTCTTGCGTGAACCATTTCCGCATGTTTAATCACGACAATTACAAAAGGGAAGAGGTTATTTCGCTGGCCTCACTGAGTGACGAAACGTAACAAAGCAACGGTTTTACTAACACTAACCCTTTTCCAAGTTACACCAACTCTAATCCTAACCTAACCCTACTCCAAGTTTGTTTCTAAACCAAATCTTGAAGAAAATTTTTTGACGAAATGTCATTTTGAGGTCAGCGAAATAACTTTTTCCTTACAAAAGTCAGTTAGCACTCACTGTAGTTCTAAATTTGTTTTTCATTGTTATAACCAAGCAATCACAGAAACTTTTTCGACAGCATCATGATGACCAGTAATTAAGTTCAGACTTCATGGGGTGTATTAAAAAAATTAAAAACAAAAAACTTCATACACTTTTTTTTTCGAGTAATACACCCTTCGACCAAAGTACAGCGACGTGCTGACATGCTTTTTTCCTATTCAGGATGCAGAGCAATGCAAGCTTACTCCTAAAGTTCTTTGATAACTTATTGAAACTGGACGGCTGTAATGGTGGACAAGCAAGTTCAATCATAACTCGCATACTGTGGCCTTCGGATTCAGTTTGCCAGTCAAACGCAGAAATTAAAGAGTTTGTGGCGCTTTGTTGTGAAGCCGTGAAATTGGCAGTTGATGGCGACAGTAAGGTAAGATGGAATGGAGGATTCCAGCAGGTATAGACGAAATTTTGATCTGGGCAAGAACAGCAAAATCCATCACAACAGCTAGAAAGAGCATGTTAAAATGAGTAAAATTGCAAAGTTTGGTTGCGAAATGTTGTAAAATGAGGAAAATATAGCCCTACGAAATTTGCAAATTTTGTATTAATTTGTATTACGCACGCGGGAAAATGCACCACTTTCGGCCCAAATGTGGTGCATTTTCCTGCGCGTAATACAAATTAATACAAAATTTGCAAATTTCCCAGGTCTATATTTTCCGCATTTTACAACATTTCGCGGCCAAACTTTGCAATTTTACTGATTTTAACTTGTTCTTTCTAGCTGTGGTGATGGATTTTGTTCTTCTTGCCTAGATCAAAATTTAGTCTATACCTGGAATTGCCTACTGTATTTCACCATCATTTAGATAGATAGATAAACTTTATTTAAACACGCTGACCCCGTCAACCGAAGCTGGTTTCCACGAGGGGCGTGCGAAAAGTATACAGAAAATAATAATTTTAAAACTATTTACAAAATTATATAAGATATATAGTATTATATGAACTAACAAACTAAGGTAGTAATCTATATACAGGTAATATTAACATCTATGTTAATTAGCTATCAATCAATGTGAGTAGCGATTTTCGAAAGGAAGAAAAGGATTTGCTCTCTCTTATTTCTTTAGGAATAGAATTCCAAAGGTGTGCTCTGTCATACACGGAACTTTTTTTCACATTATTAGTCTAAGGGTGGACCATTCTGTCTAAGGGTGAACCATATAGGTGGTTTCAGCAGATGGTGGTCAACCTGCAGTTATCAAAGACGATTATTAAGAAAACTTTAAATTTTTCATTTTCTAGTTGTCTATCTGTCACGTGTTACTTGACTGGTTGTCCATGGCAGTCACCTTAAAGAAACGTGATGACGTCAGCGGCCAGGCCTGCGAATCTCTTGCACAGCAGTTGTTTATGGAAATCTCCAAAACCGACTCCTATGACGCTACGAAGCTACTCCTCCAGGGCTGTCACTGTTCATGGCTAAAAATGAGAATACTGGAATTAATTTTGGAGAATTTTGATAAACGATTGATACCACAAGAATACAAGCAACTGCTTAGCAAGACTTTAAAGTTGAATAAAATTGTACGTAAATATAATTTATACTAGTTTTTTTCTCGTGTCACGTCCGCGTCGTAGATTTGGTGTATCTTAAGCTCCCTAATGAACGCAAGGTGTCCTAACTGTGTCCATTCTTTCTCAGGTTTTGTGCTATTTCTTTCTTCTCCCAAACATGAAAGGGATGGAGGAAATGAAAGGGATGGTGGAACAGAAGTCAACGGTCGCTAGAAGGACAAGGAAAAATGGAAAAGGTGGTGTACGATTAAATGTATTAATTTGTGAAAAAATTGACACAAATACAGTACCAAAGGGCAGAGCCCGCTAACCGCATCAGGACAGGAAAAAAGAAAAATAACAAGCTTTCATCGGTAATGATGCAACTACCTGAAAAATATAAGGAGAATTTCAAATTCTCCCTGAAAAATATAAGGAGAATTTCATATTCTCCCTGAAAAATATAAGGAGAATTTCAAATTCTCCCTGAAAAATATAAGGATTTCACATTCTCCCTGAAAAATATAAGGAGAATTTCAAATTCTCTCTGAAGAATATAAGGAGAATTTCATCCCTACCAAAGAAAGCTTGTTATTATTGGCACTATACCTATACTGGCACAGAGAGTTGAAGAAAAATAGCGACACAGATTGAAACGAAGATAGAATAACAGGAGTAACTTATCATTGTATGTTGTTTTAGGAGAGACTCCTCTACATTTAGCCTGTATCCGTAACGATGCTATGAAAGTTGACGAAATATTAAAACAAAAAGATTTGGATGTCAATATGACAGATCATGCTGGCTGGACGGCATTGCACGAGGCTTGTAACCGCGGCTATGTGCAATGTGTCAAGAAAATATTACAGTATCATGGTAGGTTTTGTGACATGTATATCTTTGTTATGGTACTTGTGTATTGGTGGGCTTAAGAAATACGAGATGTAGTTTAGTTTTGTTGCTCTCTGTGTGTCTCAACATTTCTGAAATTGACCACCATTTATTTATTTGACTTTGCCAACTAGGGCAGGGTCACCACAACACCATATGCCAATCCTAACCCACCCTGTCGGCTTCCCCTGTGGGAGGAACCTGGAGCACCCGGAGAAAACCCACGGCATTCGGCAGAGCGTTGACTTTTACTCTTTTCACACGAGGACTGGGTTCGGGTCGCATTGAGAAAGTTCTCGCTGGGATTTGAATATGCGACCTCTGAGGTGAAAGGCAAGTGCGCTAGCCACTTCGCCACCGAAGGCCCAATGCTTAAGATACATTTTCAATACGTTTTTACATATGGTGTTTTATCACATACTTGTACCTAAACCTTTATCAGGTAGGAAGCAGCGGGACATAAAAACGATATCGTCCCGGATATCGTTTTTTGTCCCGCTAAATTTCGGGTTATCGTTCCATGTTTCGCGCACCAATATAGGTTAGGGTTAGGGGTTAGGTTAGGGGTTAAGGTTAGGGTTAGGGTGTGTATATATATGTATATGGAGGTATCTAGGGAACTTTTCAGTACACTATAATATCCATTACATAACGTTTACTATATTGGTGCGCGAAAAATGGAACGATTACCAAATTTCATCCCTCGAGCGATAAAACTGATATCACCTCATCCCTTATATGATAACCTATATATATATATATCTACAGAGAAAACGAACAAAGTCAACTTACTGGCATGTCCTGACGATGGTGTGACAGTTCTTCACGATGCTGTGTTCAATAATCATCTAGCCGTGGTGAAGCTGCTTACTCAAGCTGGAGGTTAGTACAGTCTGGGTTTTCTTTACCTTGCCATTTGAATCGAATCTGAAATTTTTTATCAAAGATTATAAAGACGATGATATATATAGTGGCTGTTGTCCATAAAGGACAACTCCTTATCGATCCAGTGTAGCGGCAGGAAGAAACCTGAACTAAACTAACTTTATTTATTACCTCCGCCAGGAGGTTATGTAATCATCTGGGTTTGTATGTGTGTGTATGTGTCTGTGTGTGTATGTGTGTGTGTGTTTGTCTGTGAGCACGATAACTCAAGAAATACCAAACATATTCGTACGAAATTTTGTGAGTGCATTTCCCATCGGCTAAGGAAGAACTGATTAAAATTTGGTTGAATTTGGTTAAAAATTGAATGAGAAATAACAAAAGTTTGTCTTGCTTTTCCCGGTCA